CTCCTAATTTATGTGCCATGCTGCTGTTTGGGTTTTTGCCTTGTTTTTTATTTTTTTTTTTTTTTTTTTTTTTTTTTGGCAGCTGGCCAGCATGGGGATCCATCCCTTGTGTTACAATACCACGTTCTAACCAGCTGAGCTAACCAGACAGCCCCGTCTTCTCTATTTTGACAAATAAGGAAACGGAAAAGAAGATTAAAGTCTCGCACCTTTCGCCCTTCCACTGCATTAAGCTGGACTGTGACATTTTATCTATTGCCTTCCTCTTCTACTTTTTTTAATAGAAACAGAGTGAAGGCTCAGAGGCATGAGATAATGGAACCCATCCTTAATTCAGTGAATGGAGGGTCTGACTTAAATAAGTGAAAGGCTGCTGAGCTGCATTGTGGAAGACCAAGATCTGCAAGAGGGAGAATCCACCTTCCCCTGCAGCCCAACCCAGAACTCTCTATGCCCTTTGTAGCCACCTCCACCCCAGGGACTAGAGCAAGAAGAATCTCAGGAAGCCCAAGTACAAGGGGCAGTTGTTGCTGCCCAGCAATGGCACCCCCTTCCTCTCGTAATGGCCCCCATTTTCTCCTGGGGAATCAACTCACCCCAATACATCCAATCCAGGCATGAGAGGGGGTTATTAGGGCTGAACCAAGGAGACCCTCTCCTGGGACTGAACCTTGAACCTTGATCCTAGACAAGAGTTCCAGCATCCATGAGCCCCTGCCCTTTTCTACATGTGGTGGGCTCCTCTGTCCATCAAGGATCCCACAACCCTCCAAACCCCTGGTCTGCAGGAGAGAGCCAGGGCCAGTTTCTGAGCTGGGGACCAGAGAAGACTCCCTGATACTGACAGGCAAGAACCCACTTTACAGCAAGTAAGAAAACCCTATATACTCATATCACCCCAATGGACACTCGCTTTTACTCTACAGCCCATCTGAGGTGCTAAGCCTACAATCATCTTCAAGGTTCAGGGGTCACACACTCTCTTGTCTGCAATCTCCACCGGTGATGCAGGTCAGCCCTGTCCACTGAGGGGGACAAGGGCATTATAGGCCACCTTGGAGACTGGCAGTCACATCACCTCTCAGTGGCCTTCTCAGACATCCCAGCTGGCCTGGGTGCTTCCCCTGTACTCCCCTATTGTAGCAAATGCCCCTGTGATGGGACTGTCTTGTCTCTTCCTGAATCCAGAGAATCTCCAGGGCAAATGGGGCAAGAATGAAGCCTGACTGCTCTCCGGGTGCCTGGCTCCCACACAGCCTTCACCTACAGAGTCACCAAGACAGAGCTGTTGTTGGAGTCACTGAGGGAATAAACCCAGCAGACAGGACCTGACTCCAGGGAATAATGGAAGAAGACCCCACACAGGAAGGGAAGCCTGTTTGCATAAAATGCACAGGGGGAGGGTGGGTGCCACATCACTAAGACTCCTGGGCTGCATGGCTTGGGACAAGCTAACATTCACCTGTATATGGAGATGACAGCTGCACCCACCTCGCTGGGTGGCCCGAGGAGTCACTGGAATGATTCTCATCAGACGTGGTCCAGTACAAAGCAAGACATATGGAGATGGCAAACAGGTGGCACCTGGTGGTCCACTCAGCTCAGCCAGTAGAGGTTGACTCAGCAGTTTCCAAGGAGTGCCGAGACGGATTAGTGCTGCCTGCAGTGGGCACAGGTGATGGCAATGGCAACATGTGTCCTGAATATGGGTCCTCTCTCAGTAAGAATCCCTAATATCATTACCATCTCACCAAACCCTGGATGTCACTAACCTCATCCTGGGATCTCCTGCCACAAGCATCTGTCTGAAGCCCCTGCACCCAAGAATCTCCAGTGCGGGGCTTCTTGAACCCTGAGTGGCTGACTCCTGGCCCTCATAAGGGACAAGCATCTGGACCTGCATGGCTGCAACTCTTCAAGGCCCTGTGGGCCTCTCTACACTCAACCAAGCCCACCCCCACAGAATCTGGGAGGGTCAGGGAAATCAAGGCTTCTGAGAAAGAAGAGCTGGTTCCCAGCTGCCCCAAAGGTAAACAAGATCCAAGCCCTGGATACCCCCCTGAAATCTGTCCCTTTCTGAGCCCCTGGAGCCCCAGGTCAAGGAGCTTCTGAGGGACACATGAATCATAGATGGGAATTTGGGGGAGCCACACCCATGAGAATTGCCATTTATTCCCAAAGTTGCCAAAATCATCACCAAGGATTCACCAAGGGGTACGTTAGGGGAACACGGAGGCTCAAACACTGATTGGGAAAGGTGAGGAATTTGGAAGGAGGGTAATGGTTGGGAGACCCCAGCTGTCCCTCCCCCTTCTAATGCCACGGGAAAGGGGTCCTCCTCTGGCCAGCTCCCCTCCCCATCCCCCATGTCCAGTTTCTCTTTGGGGAGGTGGGGTGGGGGACATGGAAAGAGGGTGTAGTGTGAGTGGGCCCCAGGAGGGGGAAGGGCGCTGGGGTAAGGGCAGGGGGTCCCCTGTTTCACATGCACTCACAACACTGATCTCCCAGGGAGCAGGAATGAGGAATCCAGGCAAAGCCAGGTCCCCCTCCTGCCCTGGATTATAGAAGGAAAGGGTTAGTGTTGGGGGCTGGGGGGCCCGGGGGCATCATGGGGGGTAGGCCAGGGCCCCCACCAAGGGGAGAGATGTAGGTGGGTGGCGCCCCAGGAACCGGGGGCACGGGGCTGAGACGGAGCTGGTTCAAGGTGAGCGTCGCAGGGGGCGCTGGCTGGAAGGGGTTGGTGATGGAGGGGCCGGTGGCCGGCGCTCCTGCAGGGAGAGAAAATGACAGAGACACGAAGCAGAGTCAGTGGGGCCACCCATCAAGTGTCTGTCTGGGTCATGTGGGCAGGTGGGGACAAGTGTCCCTGCCCATGAGGTGCCTACTCTGGCAGGGCCTCAGGGAGGCCACACTCACCACTTGGCAGGAAGGGGTTGGAGGTCTTGGCTCCTGGCGGCGTGGGGCCTGGCCGGCTCACCAGCGAGTCCAGGTCAACGAGGGCTGCGTTGGGCCCCAGGAATGACTCTGGCGTCTTCCGTGTGGGGGGTGTGGGGGTTGGGGCAGCTGCAGGCGGGGGGCTCCCCACAGCCTCAGCCAAAGACCCCCCAACCCCACTCATGTCAAACACCCCAGGGCTGCGAGTGGGCACCTCTCCTGCGAGCAGTTCCAGCTCTCCTGGAAGAGGCAGGGAAAGGTGCTCAGAAAGGGACAGATGGCAGGGGGGCTCCAACCCAGGAGCAGAGGAAGATGGGGCAGGAGCTGAGGTCCCTGTTAGGCTTGAGAAAGACAGACTGGTATGGGTGCCCCTTAGAGGGTCTGGTGTCCAGAAGCCTCAAGAAGAAATGAGGCAGAGAGAGGGAGCATCGCCTGCTCAGGGCCAGCATGTCAAGTGGCAGAGCTCAGTTTCAAAACTAAATGACTCATAACACCAAGGTCAAGGGTTCGGATCCCCTTACTTGCCAGCCGCCAAACCAAAAATCAAAAAACCTAGATGAGTCTGATTCCAACTAACAGATGCAGAAGGAATGCTGGAGTTAAGGTGTCCACAGAGCCAGAATTGTTTCATGAAGAACCATCAATGGTGTCTACACCCAGTAGGTCAAAGCAGGACCTTCCAGGACTATTCACAGGGTATTTCCAGTCTCAAAGGAGCTTCCCCCACAAAAACTAATTACACAGTCCTAAATAGGAACTTTACAGTAGAGAAACAACAGCAGTCACCAATGATCCCAAAAGACTTTTTGACATTTGTTGGCTTGAGGTCTGATTTTTTTTTAATATATTAAAGATCTCTATCTAATGTTGAAAAAAAATGCACAAATATGTATGGTGTGGGGAAGGCCTAGCAGAATAAAAACTGCACACTGGACAGTTAATCTAAATTAAACCTAGAAGGAAAGAGAAGGGGAAGTGTCAAGACCGCACTTTCTCCCTTGGTGGTGCCTGACTTAATCAATGGTGCCTGACTTAACTACTAGTTGCACTTCTACAGAAGTTTACTTAATTCAAAAAAATTTTTTAAATGAAAGTGATCAAAGTTGACATCACCTGTCACGGGCAAATAGATACTAGTGGGTGCTGATGAGACATTCTGGTGAGACCTGCACCACCTCTTGCCCAAGAAGCAGAGACAGGATCTTATCTGCACGAGGAGACCTCAGACAAACCCAAACAGATGCACTGGCCTGCTGCAGGCTGAAGCTGCTGAAGAGCCAAAATAGCTAAATGCAACACCCGCTGAGGACCAACCCTGGGCTCTGAGACATGAGGGCAGTCTGTCGGTGCCACTTTCCAGATTCCAGTCACTACACTGTCTGTTACACAGAACAGAGATGTCCATGTTTTTAGAGACGAACACAGAAACACCCTAGAAACACCCAGAAGTCTGCAACATGATCAAAAACAACCCAGAAGCAGAGAGGGGTCAGAGGTGGGCAGTTAGGTGCGAAGTCTCAAAAGAGGATTCTTTATTATTTTTGCAACTTTTCTCTAAGTCTGAAATTACTCCAAAACAAAGTTACACGTTTTTTTTCAAAAGATGGGTGGGTGGGTCTGGCTCATTCCATCCAATGAACTCTTCACCCTTAAGCACAGCCAACCCAGCCTGGAGGGAGGCAGACAATTGGGACAGGGCTCATGAAGAACCAAGGAGGCCTCCCCTCTGGCCCCTGGGAATGGGGGAACCAAGCTTGTGGACTCAGGCAAAGGGGGCAGCAGCTCACCTGTGCTGCTCCCAGAGGTTGGCAGGGCCGTGCGCAGTCGATCGAAGTCAGAGAACTCATCAGGCTCCATGTCAAAGCCCCCAACTGCTGTGGGGAGGGTTATGCCAAGGGAGCCAGGATGTGCTATTCAGCTCCCACCCAGGGGGCCCTGCCCCCACCCCCCTCCTCTAGTTCAGGTATCTTCTACGAGACTAACTTATACTCCCACACTCACACCGACACACACACCTGAGACTCTGCCCGCCCCTTGCCCCCACCCCAGCACCTAGGTCTCCAGGCCCAGCATCTGCCCAATACCTGCAGTGCCATTAGTGCTGGGCTTGGAAGGTGACCCCCCCCAGGGGTCCGAGAAGGCTGGGGCTGGTGCCCAGGGATCAGAGGCTGGGGGTCCACTAACCGGGACCCCACCTGGGTGAGGAAGGCATTGCATGAGGGGCTGGAGGACTTACCTGCCCGGGCATTTGGGGGGTTGTCACCTCTGAATCTGTGGCTGTTTGCACAAAAATGCTCTCCCCCCAGCACCTCTTCCAGGTCCTGCTCCCAGAAGCACACACCAGCTGGCTTCCCACACATGTGCTCTGTTCCAGCCATGGGTGTTCATACCACCAGGCCTCTCCCGCTGTGCCCCACTCCTGGCAAAGCCCTCCTTACCCCTGAAGCCTCACCTCATTGTGAAGCCCCTGAGACCTGGCCGGAATGAAGAGCCTCAGCCTGCTCTTTACCTACCCAGATCTGCCCATGCTGCTCAAAGCCCTCCCTCAGCTCTCTGTCCCTTGTCCAGCCTGCCCCCACCCCAGCTTCACCAGCCATCCTCCCCAGATACCCACATCATGCTTAGACTCTGTGCTGGCTATAGTCTCTCCAAGTCCCATAGCTGAGCTGGCATCCCCTCCCAAGTCTTTCAAGCCACCCATCTCACACACCCTTCTCTAACCCTCTCATCTGACCCCCAACCACACCCAAGGCTCCTTCTCGGGACCCCCACAGCACCCAGGGCGCGCCCCCACTGCTGCCAGGCACCACCTGAGGGCACAGCCAGCCAAGGGCAGGTGCACACAGGCAAGGGACTGTGGCTGAGCAGGCAGGGGCACTCACCATCGGTGCTTCCCCATGGGTCGGGTGTGGGCCCCTCTCCAGCTGCAGGGACCGGGGTCCCGCCCCAAGGGTCTACAGAGGGTCCAGTGGGGGCAGCAGGCGTCCAGGGATCCCCAGAGGCCGGCGTTGGGGCTGGACCACCCCAAGGATCAGCAGCCGGAGGGACAGGGGGTCCCCCCCATGGGTCTGAGGTGGGGATGGCTGTGGGAATGGTAGCAGCCATGGGCACTGGGCCGCCCCAAGGGTCTGAGGCTGCTGGAGGAGCCGGCGCTGTGAAGACGTCCGCGAGATCCATGAGGGACGACTGTTGGGAAAAAGAAGAAAAAGGAGCATAAGAGGGCAGGTGGGTCAGGCCCTCGGAGATCACCATGGAAAGAAGGACTCTCAAGAAGCAAGAAGAGGACAGTGGGCCAGGGTGGAGTTGGGCCCTGTCATGGAAAGGCAGCCAGGGCCCTGAGCATCCACACAGGAGATACCCATGAGAAGACACAGGAGAGGGATGCAGATGCCCGGGCCATCCTCTCCTCCTCAAGTTCCTGGGTCTGCCTGCCTCTGCCTACACATACACCACCAAAGAGCCCCCAACCTGGTGGCCTTCCCACTCTAGCCCCTCAGTCCATTCTCGCACAGCAGCCCAGCAGACCTTCAAGACCATCTGACCCCCCAGGTCACCTGAATGAGGACAGAGGCCAAGCCCTCCCCTCAACAGGTAGAACCTCGATGCCTCCCTCCGACCACACCTTGGCCACCCACACTCCACACCTTCCCCCAGGAAGCCCTCACTAAATCTCCCATCCAGGTCACCCTGAGCACCTCTCTCTTGATGCCCACACACTGCCCTGCAGCCACCATCATGCTGTGGGCTTTCCAGGGATGCACATGCACATGTACACACATCTGCATGCACATGCACACAAAGACACAAGTTCACACGCATGCAGACAAATAATATCCCCGTGTTCTGGGGGTGGGTACACAACTCTAGCCCAGCTAACCAGAGCTCCCAATCTCTAAAAGTAGAGGTACCCCCCCACACACACATACACACACCCCCGATCATTATCCATGAGGGAAGCAGAGGGAGAGAAGAGCCAAGTTTCACCCTAAGTAGCCACATCCATCCTCCCCACCCTGTGCACAAAATGGAAGGAGCAGAGGGAAGAGATGGGGGAGAGAAGGGGTGGTACAAGGACCAACTTCCTCCAGTCACTGTGGATCATTCTGAGCTGTGCTGGGCACTGGTAAATACCCTTAGCTAAGGCCAGCCTGAGCAGGCTTTTCTATCAATAAAGTCCCACTGTGGCCACTGACCCGCAGCCACAAGCTATCTGCTGCCCCTTCCATGGGGAGGGGGTTGTGTCCCCATCCCTTGAATCTGGGCTGCCCTTGGGACCTGCTTCGATCAACAGCATGTGGCACATGCCGGCCACCTTCAGGCCTTGCCCTCGGGGGGTGGCAGCAGTATCCACTATGCTGTGAAGACATTTGGGACAGACCACCGACCAGGAAGAGGCCACAGGAGGCAGCCAGAGAATGAGGCTAGTGTGGATATTCTGGCCCCAGCCACATGAGTGACTTTGGCCTTGGCACATGGAGAACTGTGAAGCCGAGCCCCATCCACAGAGCCAAGAAAAATAACAAAGCATGATGTGGAAGCCGAGAGGTTCTGGGAAGGTTTGCCATACAGTTGCAGAGCTTGGAAACACTGTCCCTCTGCACTGTCAGAGAGGAGGCCCAGGAAAGGTGGGGACCACACCTCTCTCACTCAGCAGTCGGTCCTTGGTGTCTAGTGCACAGCCTGGCACTTAGGAGGTGCCTGAGAAAATGGGATGAAGGATAAGCCCTATGTCCTCCTCCTATGGCACATGTCAAGCTGTTCTGGGACTTCTCTTATCTAGCTGTGATGGCAACAGCAGCAGCAGCATCTGGCGTGGCAGGGCCTGGCTCCCACTGCAGGAGAGGTGGCTGCAGAGAGGCCTGGTCAGTCCCTGGCCCAAGGCTCCGGTGGGAAGCGAGGAGCCAGGCCAGTCCTGGAAACCCAGCTCCTGGCTCCAGGGTCTTGTTTTTCAGTCTCCGCCACCCAGGGACCTGGCCAGAGCTGGGATGAATGACCAAATGAACAGATGCTCACAGGAGCTATCAAGAGCAGATCAACAGGAAATAGCAGTGAAGGGAGGAGCAGGCAGCACAGAGAGAGCTCCCCCACCACATTCACCTCCTCCTTGCCTCCAGTCTCCCTCTTGCTCTCTTCTATCGCCATCTGCAGCCTCAGGTCATCACCTCGACGGATCCGCTCTTCCTATTTGGGGCACAAAAGTAGCGTCCAGGGGAAGGGGTCAGAAAGCTGGCACAGAGGTGGACACTGCTCCCCCCCATCCTGTAAGGCCCCCAACAATTCCCTCCCACCCTGACAAAAGCAACTGAAAAATTAAAATGGGATGTGAACAATGTATGGAATGGGAGTGGGACACCTGGGTCAAAGGTCAAGGTAGGACAAGGGGAAGAGCATGTGGTCTGGGGGGATGACGATTGGGGAGTGCTGTGCTGGGGAATGGCCCAGGCCTCGCCCTGCTAGGAGACTGGATCCAGGGGAAGACGGAGTGGCCCCTCTCATCCTGGCCTCCTTCCAGAGCAGTTGACTCTGTGATATTTCCTGCACTGGAAGGAGGGAGATGAAGGGCTCCCAGCATCACCCAGAGCAGCCACAGCAGGCCCGCCTCACAGGTTCTGTTTGACCCAACAGCTAAAGATACTGAGGTCTGAACACATGTAAGCCTGTGACTGGGGGCCAGGCAGCACCAGGGAGAGAGAGGTGGGGGCACTTCAGGAAGGGGTGAGGGGACAGGACCTGAGAAGGAGTCTGGGGGAGCCCCGGGAGGGGCAGGGAGGCTGATCTGACCTTATCGTGCTCCTCTCGGCTCAAACTAAGGGCCAGCTGGAGCTGGACGTCGTCCTCAGGGCCGCAGGATGGGGGCTGGGGGAGAGAGAGTGTGAGGGGGACAGGGCGGGGAGAGGGGACAAGAAGCAAGAGCCAGAATCACAGACAGAGGCAGGCCAAGAAGGCAGGGGATTGTGGGGGATGGACAGATGGAGAGCCATGGCTGGACAGGGACAAAGAATCAGAGGGGTGGTCAGTCAGTCCGTCCCCCAAACCAGTGAGGGATGGGCAGAGAGAAAGATGACAGAGGGGCAGGGGAAGGGCAGGGGCAAGACAGGCACCCAGAGAGGAAGGGAGGAGGGACAGGCCAGAGGACACGACTGGGGAGGAAGACCAGGTCAGAGAGCAAGTGGAGCAGCAGAGAGAGGCAGAGCGAGCATGGGCGCAGGCCTCAGGGAGGGTCAGCGCTCAGAAAGAGCAAGGAGGGGGAGGCCTGGGAATGAGGGGAGCAGGTGGTGGCAGAGGGTGACGCATGGAAATGGAATGGCAGAACAAAAGTCAAACCCCCTGGTGCAGCAACACACCAGCTGGTACCTGGTCAGCCTCCTCTTTGCTCATGGCCAGGGCTAGCTGGAGCTGCAGCTCCTCCTCGCCACTGCTCTGCGGCCATGCCTGCTCGGCCTCAGGTGGGGGCCCAGTGCCCACGGCTGCTGAGGAGGCTGGGAGAGGCGGGGAGAAGTAGAGTGAGACGAAGACACCGAGGCAAGAGACAAGAAAGCCCATGGCCTAGACAGTTGGGGGCTTCTGTTTCCAAAATCCCCCAACTCCCTCCACCCCCAAGACTTCTGAAGGCCAAGGGAGGCTAGAGACGGGTGAAGGGTAGGCACCCCCACGGGAGGGGCAGGCACCCCCACGGGAAGGGCAGGCACCAGGAAAGGACAGGAGCAGAAATCTGCTGATAAGGAAAGGTAGGTGCCTCAGGAACCTCTGAGCACTGTCACCAGGGCTCCTGCAGGACACCTAACGCCTTGGTGTCTATATTGGGGCCTCCTTCTTCCCTGGTCTCTCAGGCTTTGAAAGCTGCCAACATGGCTCAGGGAGGAGGCCAAGGCCTCAGTTTCCAAGGCTTGTAGAGAACTATAACTCTGGCAGGGAAAGGTTGGAATCTAGAGGAAAGACAGCATCTCTTCAGACTGTGGGGTCCAAAGGCAAGTCAGGGGAGGGAAGTAGACTGAGGAGGAGCCCTTGGTTACAGGAGCAGCACAAGGAAAAGGGAGGGACAGGGCACACAAAGCCAAGACAGACCGTCTCCTGGGGCCAACGAGAGGTGGGAAGGCAAGTTCTGTCTGCTCAAGCTCCTCCCAGACTCCTTGCACCTGTGTCCTGGGCTCCTGTCCCCACTCACCTCCACTACCTGGGTCCAGGCCTCTCACCCATGACCAGGCCCCTGGCTTCTCCTCACCCCACAATGTGGTCAGCAGCTGTCCCATGGCCCCACCTGCGCTCGGTCCCGGAAGCCCTGGGCCAGACCAGCGTGGTGTCCCTAGCAAGGGTCACTAGTGAGCATGTGGACAGGGATGGTGGCACACGTGGGCAGGACTGGGGTGACCAGCTGTGGTGACAAATGAGGGAAGAATGAGCAAGAACGGGATAGGGACTGATGGGATGGGTGCGTGACCATCTGGGAGGGACAAAGAATAGGGATACAGGCACGGCTAACATGTGGGGAGGGCAACACCTCTGTGGCCCCCTCCTACCCTCCTCTTACCCCAATGGCTCCCTCCTGAGCTCCCAGGGCTCCTAGGAGGGTGCTGGGCACCCACGCCTCATTGCCAAACTTCTGCCTTGCAAACACCCTTAAGCCCCTGTCCTGGTGGTTAAACACAACCAACTCCCTGTGGCCTTGAGCTGCCCTGACCTGCACTGAGCCTAAAGGCCCCACCTCACACTTCACAAGTAAATGAAGACACCAAGCCAACAACACCCTGGCCTTACCATCCCAGAAGCAACCAGTCTTGGTGCTTCCTGCAGGCCACCAGCCCTCCCCAGCCCCTCTCAGGGTCTCAGGGATGTGTTCCATAACTGCCCTCATTCTCTCCCCCAGCCCACCCCCTGCACAGAGCTCACTCTAGGACAGCGGTTGGCAAACCACAGCTCTCAGCCAAAGCCAGTCCGTAAGCTAAGAAAGGTTTTCACATCTTTAAATGGTTGAAAAAAAAATGAAAATAATAATATATCAAGATGTTTGAAAATTACACAAAATTCAAATTTCAGAGTCCATGATGTGAGTCTGAGGGGCGTACAGCTCCCTCATTTAGGTGTAGACCGAGTCAAGTAGCTGCAACAATCGCATGACTAGCAAAGCTGAAAATACTTACTCTCTGGCCCTTCTAGGAAAAAGTTTGACAACCTCTGCTCTAGGATCTCCAACTGCTAAAAACTCTTCCCTGAGGCACCCCAAGTTCCCTCCCAGCTATTATCCAACATCCCTCCTCACTCCACCTCAACCCCATCCTATACTGTCCATGAGCCAACAGGCCCTTCTCAGCCTCCCCCTCCCCAGGCTCTGGTTGATCTCACGCTACCCTGGCTTCCTTCCCTCTACTTCACACTTTCTCTCTACCCTAAATGCCATCTGCAGACTCAAGAATCCCAACTCTGGGGTCCCTGGCTCAACTATGCACACCTGCTATGTCCCCATGTCTTCAAGTGGGTGCAGAACAGCGACCCCAAATGTGACGCATCCAGAAGGCTTCATATCCTCCAGATAAGCCAATCCCTCCAGCCAGACCCCTGGTGATCACGGGATTCCCCCTTGCTCCATCTCCCCTGGCAGGTCCAGTCAACCCACCTCCAGGGTAATGCATGGCTCAGTCTTCTCCACATCCTGACCATCTGCTAATTAAGACACCTCCGCCTGTTACCCAGAAAATAGCGGCAGTCTCCTAAATGTTCTCTCAGCTTTCCCTGCTCTGGTTCCTGAGCAGCCAGACTAATCTTTCCGTAGCTGTGAGTCCTCCCGCTCCCCCGTCTGTATAAAATGCATTTCCTAGCACAATCCAGGACGCACCTACCCAAAATTGTTTCCTGAGACAGATCTTGGCCTTACAATTTGAGATGCACTCTGATTTTCTTTATTTTTGAGGGGGGTCAGCTGGCCAGTATGGGTCCTTTTTTTTTTTAAATGCTGGTCACCACCCACCAAACTGAGCTCACCAACTACAAACAACATTTTTAAAACTTTTAAAAGCAGACCCAAAGGACTTGCGGTGACATGCAAGCTGACTCTGACCTTCCTTGTGTCTTATCTAGGCCACCCTGGGGAACTCTGCACCACACTCTGCCTGGAATGACATCCTCCCTCATCTTGGCACAAATGGAAGGACAGTTCCCTTAGGTATCAGCACACATGTTCCCTTCAGAGGGCCATCCCTGACCCCACATCCTGGGGAACCCCCATCCCCAGCATTGACTGCTCTCAGACAGGACCATGGGTGTACCTGCCTGGAAGCTCCAGGGCCCAGGCTGCAGTTCCATGAGGTCAGGGCCTCTGCCTGCTCTCTTGGGGCCTGGACACACCTGGGCCCTGAGGAGGCACTTGGCGAATACTTGTGAGTGAGCAGAATGAAATTTCTCCATTCTAGGTCCCTGGGGCTTGGGGCAAGAGGATCTCAGAGTGGCAGAGGAGACACAAGGGGAAAGAAGGGGCCCAGGTGAGCCTGCAGGACCAGGTCCCAGGTGAAGACAGGAAAGTCTGAGTCCCTGATGGCCAGAAGAGAGGGGAGAAGCAGGAGGGCTGTCTCAGCAGGAGAGGACCAGACTCTAAGCCAATGGGGGCTATAAGGCAAGGAAAGGGAAGCGCAGGGCCTAACCAGTGGCAGTCTGTGCCAGCTTTTCCTTGGTCTTGAGTGCATGGGCACGCTCCTCCCGCAGCCGGTCTTCATCACGCAGCAGGGCCACCAGCTGCTTGGCCTTCTCTCGCACATTCACACCCTGGTCCTTGCCATCACGGTCCACGTACTGAAAATCCTTCAGTGTCTGCACGGCATACATGTTCTCCTTGCACTGCTGTGACACGCGCTCCGAGCCAGTCTTGATGAGGTACTCCATCAGCGTCATGGCCTGCAGGTCAAAGACACACCCATCACTCACGCTGGGCACCGTGGGAGGTGGGCGGGGTTCAAGTCCCCCAATCCACATCATCAGTGGGTGGATACACAGCTGTCCACACAATGGAGTATGATATAGTCACAAAAAGGAATGAAGCACTGACCTGTACTCCAAAGTGGATGCACCACAAAAACTGCTCAAAGAAGCCAGACATGAAAGGCCACATAGTATATGATTCCACTGATGTAAAACATCCAGAATAAGCAAATCCACAGAGACAGAGAGTAGTTTATGGGTTGCCAGGGGCTGGAAGGAGGACAAGTAGGGAGAAACCACTTAATGGTACGGGGTTTCTTTTCAGGAGATGAAAAAGTTCTGCAACTAGAGATAGGTGGCGGTTGCACAATATTGCGAATGTACCAAATGCCACTGAATTGTCACTTTAAAAGAGTGAATTGCATGATATGTGAGCCCTATCTCAGTAGAAATTTAAAAAAGGAAGAAAGCAGCTGCAGTCACTACAGCTCAACCTGGGTTTCCCTGAGTGTCTCAGAGTCTGCTCTATTTTTTTAAGATGAAAATCTAAAATAACATGGCCAAAAAAACTACATTTGTTAAATCATGCTAAAGGGTAGCTTAGACTGTTTTCTCTATTGTTTCATAAGTTTGAATTGTGTCACCACTTTTGAATGTAAAAACTCGCACTGATATGGGACAGCCCTGAAGATAACAAAGTAGAGAGTTACTTGGGGACAGGGAGCTTATCACCACTTGTACGAAGGGAAACAATAAGCCTGAGGTGACTGTCCAGCCTGGGCTCTTGTAAAGGACATGCAACACACTAGAACACCAGAATAGGAGGACAGGGTGGAGGGAACATTACTGTTCAATCTGCACCCTTTAGTATCTTTGTATTTTATAACATGAGAACAAATTCTATTTCCGGCAAGTTAAAATTAAATGGGAAAAAGAAAATGTGCCTGGGAAAGGTCTCTGTGGCTCTTCCTAGACCAGGCTCAAGCCCCGTCCTCCACAGCAAGGTGAGGAGGCATGGCCCCATTAAGACTCTGCCACCATCCTCAGAAAAAGGTATGCCTTACATTTTTCAGGTGATTCCAGGGACACCATGGAGCCCATGAAACCCATCCAGGAGTCCCAGGTCTAGAACAGACCAAAAAAAAAAGGAAGGGAGAGTCACCATTGCAGCTAAGCTCTCTATCTAAACAGAGGTAAAATTTGCCAAAACACAGTGTTGTGGGCCATTCATATCTCCCTAACCTTTTGAGGTAGGCTATCTAAATTTGGCAAGGCTTTTTGAGAGTATATTAACAGTATTTACAACTGTAATGGACCCTTTAGCCCTGGAGGTGTTTACGCATCAGAGGAGAAAGGAATGAAGGAAAGTGATTTCTATGTGTTATTACTACACCCCATGCCTGAGAAGCAGCCACAGGGCCAGAACTCCTGGAGATATTGAGCCCTTGTGTTTTGAAATTCAAAATTTTCCAAACCATTAAGACTGTGTACATACCACATGTATTTAAAAAAAAAAAAAAAAACGCTCCCAGCAGAGTGTTAGGCCAATAGTCACACTAAATAGGACTGATAAACACTACATAAATGACCTCATCTCAGACAGGGTCAGCCTTTGTGCCAAATGAATTATGAAAAACTTTGTTTTTACTGCTCTTTGGACTTTGGAATTGCAGTTAAAAAGATTGTGGACTAGAAATAGCTCAAATATCCATCCGCAATGGAAAGCATTTATAAGCTGTGGTAAACTCACACAGTGGGACTACCAAATACACAGCAATAAAAATAAAACAAATGAACGACCACTACAGGCAACAACACAGGTCAACCTCCTAGGCATGATGGTGAGCAAAGGAAGCCAGACACGAAAGACCACACGAGCATGACTCTATGCATGTGAAGTTCAAGAACAATCTAGGCAAACAGAAGTCAGACCTTTGGGGGAGGGGTATGGTGCGGGAGCCCCCTGGGGGACCGGACACATCCTCCATCTCCCTCTGGGTGAGGTTACACAGGTGTACACATATGTAAAAGTTAATTGGGTTGTATACACAGGATCTGTTTGTATGCAACACCTCAAAAAAAATCTAAAACCTTATCTTCAAAGTGGGCAACTGGAAAATAGTCCTTTGTTAATTTTTAAATTAGCTTTGTCACGGATGTACTGCTACATCAGAATAAATGTTTAAAACAGGGTCAACAAATGTTCTCTGTAAAGAGCTAGGTGGTAAATATTTTGGTTTTTCAGGCCATATGGTCTCTGTCTCAACTATTCAGCATCCACAGATGAATGGGCCTGACCATGTTCCAGTAAAACTGTATTTACGAAAACAGGCAGTGGGCAGGATTTGGCCCATGGGCCACAGTGTGCAGACCCCTGGTTTAAAATAAAGACTGAGGGGCCGGCCCGGTGGCGCACTGCTATAGTGCGCCGCTTGGGAGCGCGGCGGCACTCCCGCCGAGGGTTCGGATCCCACATACAGACCAGTTCCCGCTCAATGGCTGAGCGAGGTGCGGGTGCAACACCGAGGGTTGCGATCCCGTTGCCGGTCCCGGTCCAGTACGGGCACGACACTGAGGGTTGCAATCCGTTGCCGGACACGAAAAAAGACAAAAAGAGAAAAAATAATAATAATAAAATAAAATAAAGACTGAGACTGTGCATTCCTCAGAGAAATTAGGTGATAGCCCAGGGTCAAGAGGGTGGGCTACAGGTCTCCACTCCCAGCTCTACCATAGCCTGGATGGTCCTGAGCTTCTTTGTGCCTCAGTTTCTTTCCTCACCTGTAAAATGGAGAAAAAGGAAGAAAAGTACCTCCTTCACGGAGTAATTGTGAGGTCTTGATGAGAACCTGTGTGTGATGCACAGGGCCATACACACAAGGTGCCAGATAAACTCTGGCCCCCTACTCATCAACGAGACTTGTCCCCAATGACATGCAGGGAGGATGCACAGAAACTAGGCCTGCTGGGTCCCCAAAACTCATCTCCTTCTCCACAGGGACCATACATAAGACCCACAAAGTACCAGCCAGGCAAGCCGGCACAGTGGGAAAGCTCAGGCCCTGGAGAGATGGGCCCAAGCCCCAGCTCCCCACCAACCCTGAGCAAGCCACCTCCCGTCTCTGGTCCCCAGTTTCCCCATCCATCAAAGAAGAAAGATCACTCCCGCCCAACCCACCAGTTAGGGCTGAAAGAAGAAAACGACACCATGATGGTGAAGGACAATGGGAACACAGAAGACCTGCCCTCATGCCCATACAGGTCATCGCAGATGCTAGGCTTTGGGAATTCCATCCTCATCACCCACACTTCCAGAAGGGGACTGTGAAGCCTGAGGGAGGTGGCCAGCCAGGAAAGGGAGGCACTGGCAGGACGTGGACCATTCCTGAGCCCCTGCACTCAGCTCTTCGCATACACCACAGCAGGGACAAGGGTGACAGGTGATGCCTGCCCTACACACCCGCTCTCAGGATAGAATTCAGTAGGCAGCACAAACTCGAATGGCAGCCGTTTTTCACAGACACCACGAACCCTCCCCTGGTGCACCAGAGACTGGATCCCATCCTCGGCATCAAGAATTGGAGGTTCAGTGTGGAGCAGGAACCCCACACCCATATGGGCTGGGGACCCCCAAGCACTCACAGACCAGCACCCTATGGGTTCTGCCATGGGGAGCACAGAAATGGAAGCCCCAAGAATCAGGAGAGGCTGCAGGAACAGAGAACAGAGCAGAGGTGCCTAGACCAGTGCAGGGATAGACTGCAAAGGATTGCAGGAGAGCTTTTTGGGGTGACAGAAACGTTCTACCTCTTGACTATGGTAATAGTTATGAAATATATGCATCAATCAGAAACCAGAGAACTGTATCTAAAAAGGGTGGATTTTACTGCATACAAATTACATTTCAACAAATCTACCTTTAAAAAGTTCTTAAAAAGAACCAGGCTGGAAAAGGTGGCTGGGACCTGTGACCAGCCGGACCGCCTCCTCCAGGGAGTCTGCCCCGATTGCCTGAAGCCAGACAAATCCTCTGCTGTGTTCCCTCCTCATGGCACACCTGCCAACCCGTCTAACTGTTCCATACCAGACCCCCAACCACCCGGGAGCTGCTTGAGGGCTGGGTTCCCATCACTGATCAGCAAGGGGCCAGCCTATAGGATGCCTCAGAATAGAGGTGTGAAATGAACTCAGAAATCTAGCTGCTTCCCTGCACAGACACTCCCATCCCCACAGGAGCTCCCCTTCACCTTCAAGAAGCAGCCCAAGCCCTTCCTGACATCAGAGGCCCCATCTACCTCTCTGCCACTCCCCTGCCCTGCATGCCTACCCCCAGCCACCAGCACAGCACACTCTCTAGACTCCTAGACCATAGCACTTGTCCACTACCCCCGCCCAAGCCTCACCGTTCTATGCCTGCAGCAGCACTACCCAGCCATGGTTAGGAAGCATCTGCTGTCCAGAGGTCATTAGGATTCACCTCCCTCTACACCCTTTCTCTCCAGCTCCACCAGCCCCGTCCCTCATCCTCACCTCAACACTCGCCCTTTCCCCACTTCTCAGCTAGATAAATGCCACCCAATCCTTCACAATAAATAACCAATAACTGACTCAATCTATGATTCAACCCGAGCCATGAACCAACATGTTGGGATGGGCATGAACACGAGCCAGAGGAAACAAGCCTCAATTCCCTGCTCCAACTTACAGATGGTGTGCCCTCTCTGGTCTCTAGTCCCCTCATCTCTGAGCAGAGGATAACATCCCCGCCTTGGCGGAAAGTCTCGAAGATCAGCTAGGACAGAGAGCCCAGCCACAGAAGGCCCTGGTCTAAGACCGTTGAGAACAGGGGCCTCATTATCTTATCCATAAAGACACACAGAGCAGGTCCTCCACAGATGCTTGCTAAAGAAATGGCAACAACAGGACTCTCCAACACTCACAAGCCCCTACCCTGAGAGCCAGACCTCACACTGACATCCTGGACCCACAGGGACATAGGTCCAGGAACTAGACTGAGGTTCCACCACCAGGAGTATAATCCAGCCGCCTGGCCCCAGCCCATGCCCTGGGCCACTTTGCAGTAACATGAAGAACAGAGCGACCCAAGGAGAGGATACCAGGCCCCTGGTCCCCCAGAGCAGCAGTCAAAGTGGAAACCCACTTGCTAAGTCCTGCCCCGAGACGCATTCCCAAAGCCTGAGATGTGTGTGTTTGCTCAGTGGATTAAGGTGAGCATATCAGACCACTTCTGTGGAGAGCACTCTGGCCACATTAACCAAAATTACATATGCACATGCCCTCTGACCCAGCAATTCCAGATCTTGAAAATGGCAAATATACAAGGATATTCACAACAGTCTTGCAAAACACTGCAAACCACTTTTTAAAAAGTCCACCAACAGGAAACTAGTTAAATTATGATCAATTCATACACTGGAATATTCTGCGGTTGTAAAAGAAAAAAAAAAAAAAGTGACAAATCTTTTATGTCCTGATAGGGAGTGTTCCCTAAGATAGAGTTTTGTTTTCCTTTTATAAATTGGAGTCTAATTTTCATACAGTAAAACTCACTCTCTTAGTTCTGACAAATAGGTATGGCATGTACCACCACTGCAATTAAGATACAAAACAATACCATCCCTTGCTCTGCCCCTTTGTAGTCAACACCCACACCCCACTCGTGGTAAGAACTAGCCTGCTATCTATATTCTGTCCCTATGGCTCTGCCTTTCCCAGAGTGTCAGATGAATGGAAGCAAACATTACACAGCCTTTTGAGGCTGACATCTCTCCCTTAAGACAAGGCACATGAGATGTACCTGTGCCATTCTAACATATGCACACAGCACAGTCATCTGTGTGAAGGGGAGCACACATCTGCGGGACAGACACCCACAGATGATCCCTAGAATCTGGGACTCAGCTGCTGAGGAAAGTAACTAGGAGTCTAGGCACTGCGAACCCTCTCAGGCCTTCTGATTATACAATCTTACAAATATACCACTCATTCAAAAACAGATATAAATCATAAGACTTAAAACTTCTTAAAAGCGTTATATTGTTGCCTTCATTAAACAAACAAACAAAAAAGAGTGATTTTACATAAAAATACAGTATTCCAGCTCCTCTTGGGAGCTGGGAAGCCCACCGAGGTAGGACCCACAGGGTTTGTCCCCATCCTCCCACCTGAGCCCCTGCACCCATACCCAGGGGAAGGGAGCTGACCTTGTAGACATGCCGCCAGTTCTTGCCATGGTCGTTGAGCCGCTTCCATATCATGCTCATGATCTCCGAGAAGGCGACAACATTGTAAGTGAGGTCGGCGATCTCTGACATGAGGGAGCTTGATGGGCCCCAAGGGTCGTTGCTTGTGGCCTCACGGACCTTGATCTCTGCCTCCGAGTAGTTGTGGACGATGTTTTTCATCTGGCGCCGAAGCGAAGAGGTCGACATGTTGCCTGGTGGTGGCAGCCAGGGGTGCGGGGCCCCCAGGATGTGAAAAGATAGGGTGACTTGCAGAGGGAGGCTGCAGGAGGCACTGGCAGGTCACCACATCTGAAGAGGGGAGAGAACCTTCAGAAACACAAACTGAACATCAACCATCCAGAGTCTAAGTGCCCCGTTCTTGGGGTCCTGACTGCCCTCAGGGTAGATGAGTTCCTAGCAGTGGCTTAGAAGGCTGTGACCCTTGTTAACCTCCTTCTGAAAGCTCCTCCATGCATCTTTCAGTTCCTCAAACCTGCCCAGCTCCTTCCTGCTTGGGGCCCCTGCTCAGTGAGGCAGAATATGCAATGGCAGATCACAGGTCCACACCCCAGCTCAGCCCTTCTTAGCTGGACCACCCTGGGCGGGCCAGGAACTTTTGCACCTCAGTTTGCTCCTCCATAAAATGGGGCTCCATGTGATATTTCAGGGAGCTGAGAGAACCTCGTAAATGGAAAGCACTCTATGAACTCCAGTCAGCAGTATCAGGAAACCCTCTGTCCTGCCCATGTGCCCTTCCTCCTTCTTTCACCTGGGGACTCCTACTCACCCTGAGAGTTCCACCTAAACTTCCCAGATCCACACCCAAACACCATGGTCACCATTTTCTGGGAGTCTTGTCTACACATTCAGTCGCACTCATGATTTTATATTCTTCATTTGTCTGATTCTGTGGCTAAGGTCAACCCACAAGCTCATGTGGGCAGAGACCACATTTGTCTGGATGTGGCTTTTCCCAACAGAGGAGCTTGCCCAGAAAAACCATTCAATAAACATTCAGGAAGGAAGTGTGAAGGGAGGGGGGGGCAGGAAGGACCTCTGGAGTAGCGGGGAGGCAGGAATCCACAGCAGAAATAAGGACACATGGTAGAGGAGGCCAATGAAGGAATTAAAGAGATGGGCAGGAGAGGTAAGATCCTTTCCAGGGCAGTGAGACTATAGGGGATGCTGGGGGACTAGGCATCCCAAGGGTGGAGAAACCCAAGGCTCAAAGGAGGAAAGATAAGGAATATAACTGCCCCACTGACTGGATTCTAGCTGTGTGCCAGGCACTCGCTAAGCACAAGATGTACATTTTCTCATTTAACACTGCATTTAGAGACTGGACTCACGGAAATTAAATAATCCAGCCAAGGTTATATACTAGGAATAGTAGGGCAGACTCAACCCAAGGCCGATTTGAACTACAAAACTTACACTTTTAAATTAACCTAAATCAAGTTAACCTGTGTCAAGAGCAGCAGATGAGAAATAGAAGAGTGTGAATCAAACGATGATGATAACAGCAAGCACTTACACAGCTCTTCTCTTGTGCCAGACATTTTTCTAAGTGCTTTACACATACTAACTCAATTAATCCTCACAACTCCATGATTCATAGCCACTTCAGGGGAGGAAACTGAGACACAGAGAGGTTAACTCCCTTGGCCAGGGACACACACCTCACCTCTGGAGCAACCTGGTTCCAGAGCAGGCTCTGACCATCACAGTCTATGCCTCTCCAACAAGCCATGGAGGGAGATTTACCGAGCCTACCACAATCTAGTCCTGGGGGAGACAGGGGAGAGAGGCTGGCCTCTGCCTTGAACTCAGGCTAGGGAGCCAGGTACCTGAAGAAAGATGTAATTAGTTGAAAAGAAGCAGCCAGGGTCCCAAGACAGGCCCAATCAGAGACACTAAGTTGAAGAGATGATGTAACAAATAGAGAGGAGACTGACAAAAAAGGATATGAGAAAGAAACAAGGAAAAAAAGAAACAGAGAAAATTGGGCACAGGGAGCTACCCAGAGACATGGTGAGACAGACAAAGACACAAAAAGAAACAGACATAGAAACATGGCAAGATAGTGAGGCGAAAGAACAAAAGAGAAATGACAAAGGCCCTGAAACAAAAAGAGTCCTGGGACTGAGAAATAAGAGAGAAGAAAAAAGGCATAAAATGGAAAAGAACATAAAATTTGGGTTCGAATCCCAACCACATCAGCTACCAGCAAAGCAAACCTCCTTGAGATTCAGTTTGCTGAACTCTGAAATGAAGAAAAGAATTCCTACCTGGCAGGCTGTTGATTAAAAAAGATGGCTACATAAAGTGCTTGACTACATAGATAGTGGGCACTCAATAACATTATTATGAGAGAAAAAACAGAGAACATTTCCAAAAGGGTGACATCAGAAGATGCACTATCTTAATACCGTGTACTTATTTAAAGTGCATTAGAAAATATACACAGCTAGCACATCAAAGCTAGGATTTCACAGATACTGAGAGTGATGCTGTTTTTTAAATTAAGTTCATTCAAAAAGAATTATTAGATTTAAAAGAGTACAAATGTTATAGCAAAATCCTCCAAGGGATATTCAAATGACCCATATCAAACACTTAATGTGTAAAACAGAAAATCTGTAAGTAATAATACAAACCAGAGCTCCCAGTAACTATACACTTACTACGTGCCAGACACTGTTAGGCACTTTACAAGCATCATCTTAATTAATATATATACAACGACCCTGTGATGTTGGAACTATGAATACCCCTATTTTAAAGACCAGGAAACTAAGTTTGGATATAGAAGTCACCTGCCAAATACAACACAGCTAGCAAGCAATAGGGCCCTCGGAATCCAGAGCCAGAGCTCTTCTTCACCACCACACCAGAAACTCAGAAACCTGGATGAAGGGGCAGATCCTAGACCAAACAACATTCTCCTGGATAGAAACTTCGGGATTGGAGGTGATAGGTAAGGGGGCAAAAGTGAGAAGTGAAGACGGGGGCGGGGGATATGCACCAGAGGCAGAAACAGAGGGCTGGAGAAATCTGAGGAAATGAACACACACAAACCCACAGAGACGTGAACAAAACGCTGAGAATCAGACACAGAGACATGACAGAGGCAGAAAGAGACCACACAAGGACACTCCTATCTCCAAACCCTTTTGTAAAAACACCGAAACTAACACGGAGATAGAGCAACAGAGGCACAGGCAGAGATTCACAGGACATAAGAGACGGAGACAGACACACACACCCGAGAGACAGAAAAACAGACACGGGGGCAGTAGGAACCGATTCAGGAACAGAGGCACAAAAGCTGCCAAAGACCAGAAAACGAGAAGCGACAGAGACGCCCGAGGCCCGGCCGGAGCCGCGCGCGCCGGGGCCCAGGCCCAAGGGCCCGGGACTGGATCGGCCGGTGCCTCCCGCCCGCGCTCACCTTGGCCCCTTCACGCCGGGCTCCGGGGGGTCATGGCGGTCAGCCCAATGCCCCCGCTCGGCCTCGGTGTCACGGGGCGCGCGCCAAGC